CCTGTTGCTAGTTAGCCAACCAGCAACGGGCATGAAACTGTATGCAGATGGAGAAGGGCAATCACCCTTAATGGGCGATCAATGGTGAAGGGCAATCACCCTTAATGGGCGATCAATGGTGAAGGGCAATCACCCTTAATGGGTGATCAGGATATGCATAGGGGATTAAGGGGGGGGAATACAAAGAACACAACACAATGATGCACCTTTCTTGCTTGCTTGAAAATCAGAAAAAGAAAGCTTTCAATTTTTATTCTGAATAAATTCTCATAGCTAAGATCCAGGCCTGCTCAGGGTCATGAAAAGTTGATATGATTCTGGGATTGTTGTCCTATTTTATTGTGTAAATGTATTTGACAACACCTTATTGATAGATGATATATGCACTAATGATATATAAAATCATAATTGAGAAAACTGAAGTACTTACTTTTGCCTTTTTTTCAAAAATAGACTTGGGCAACATCTGAGGACCGAGGTGTGTTTTTATAATTCTTCTGAAAGGCAGTTTTTCCATCCTCTTTAACAATATTAAAATCATAGGGAAGTCAACATCATTCATGCAAAGGAAATCATACACAAATATAAATTAAGGATATCAAAGTTCATCCCTAAAAAAAACTGAGTCCCACTGATCTTTGTCATCATAATTGCTGTGGTGGAATCTCCAGTTACACTGGAAGGAAGTGTCAAGAGGGGTCTGATTTTGGAGTTTTTGTGCTACAGGAAGCAGCACAGGTCTAACCTTCCCCCAAATCTTTGAAGCCTTACCTTGCTATTCCCCAAGGGAAAGCATTCAGTCTAGTGACTTTTCTTTAAGTTATCTAACTTTTATTTATTTTTTTCTACAATAGTCTCTGAAAGAGGGCAGGGGCTGAACTAAGAATTCATGATAAAATACAAAGCTACAGAAAATATTTTAAAATGATGACAAACTAAAAACTCTGACCGAATCTTCAATTCAAGTCCTAATTTTTGACTTGTTTGTCTTCATACCTCTTATATATAATCTCTGAAGTGGTGGTATGTATTTATCACTGATGCGAGGTAGCATGTTATCAAAAATCAAAGATGAAATTTCACTCCTTATTCCAATGGAAATTACACTAAATAAGGTTGATTAAGCTTTGGGATAGAATTAATTCATCTAAAAAACAAACCAGCTAAGCTAAAAATGTTATCTCTGCTGATATGGGTCTTGATGTTCAGACGGTGACTCCTTTGTGACCTCTGATGTTGATGTGTTCCCATCAACACATACACATTGAAATAAGTGCAGGTCCCACTTTCAAAAAGGGTGCCTGTCCCTACTTTAGCGTATTTTTCATAGATTAATGTTATGATATTTAAGGGCAGAGCTCAGACTAGCAAAATATGCTCCAATGATCTACATTTTTTCCAGTGAGCTGATTAAACTGATCACACAGCCTCACACATAAATCCATGTTCCTCTCCTGCACCTGTCTCACTTTTTTTTCCCTAATGAGTGAATTTCACTTTGTTAAAACAAAGCTGCTCTGTCCTACATCAGCTTTCAAATCTTTCATTTGACTTTCCTGCCACTTGATAGAAGCTACTGAGTATTTCTCAACTTGTAACCTCAAATTCTGAGCGCCAAAGAATTGAGGTCTTTGAACTATGGTGCTGGAGAAGACTCCTGTGACTGCAAGGCATTCAAACTGGTCAGTCTTACAAGAGATCAACCCCGACTTCTCTTTAGAAGGCCAGATCCTGAAGTTGAAACTCAAGTATTTTGGCCACCTAATGAGAAGGAAGGACTCACTGGAGAAGAGCCTAATGCTGGGAAAGATTGAGGGCAATAGAAGAAGGGGGCGACAGAGAAGGAGGTGGCTGGATGGAGTCACTGACGCAGTAGGTGTGAGTTTAAATGGATTCCAGAAGATGGTAGAGGACAGGAAGGCCTGGAGGAACATTGTCCATGGGGTCGCGATGGGTCGGACATGACTTTGCAACTAACAACAACAACAACAAACCTCAAATTTTCCTGGATCTCCAAATTCAAGAAATGAAATTAGTGATAATTCTTGCAGTGTTGGCTGCCATTGTTTCTGTTTGTCTTCATCATATTTTCTAGAGGCAACTTCCAGCTGTGTTAAGATCTGCTTAACCCAGTTTGTACCTGAAGAAACGCAGAAATGTTATCACTTAATATATAAAAAGACATATCCTGACCATAGATCATTTCAATCATATCAGAATTGAAACTATAAATGAGAATGAGAAAATGCAGGAATAAACATTGACTGGACATGAAACTTCAAAAAGAATGAGAGGAAGGTGCAGTAAGAGTAAGAATTTAGTATTGAATAAGTAACTAAACATTAAGCATTGTAATTAAAATGGCAATAATCAACTGTCTTCTTAAAATAAGAATATAGAAACATAGAAAACTATCTGATAGAGCTGTATTATAATCTACATTGCATGAAATAGTCACAATCTCAGAATCAAATTCCTTGCAAACTTGAATAGATAAATTTATCCTGTTTGACTAGATATGTGCTTTATGAAATTCTTTTGGGGTATGTCCACAGAATATAATTTTTTTCAACACACTAGTGTTTACCTCCAAAGAACCTGATAAAGTCATTTTTCAATACTACATAAATAGTAAGAATTTTACCAACTTTTTAACGCATTTTCACACATTACATGGATTGATTTGGAAAATATGTAATTGACATTTTCAGAATTACAGTATTGAAGGTGTTCATATAATTGGTTATTTTAAGCAGAGATGCCAATGTCATTTTATGACTCTGTATTTCTTGAAATACACAGAAGATCAAGACTGTCATCTTAGGCATAGTAATCACTGAGGAATTTCATTAAGACAAATTATTAAATGCATCACAATAAAATGTCTTGCGCTTTGGAATCTGCAAGTTTTTTTTTTTATTTAAGAGTTATAAACTCTACAGAAACTATTAAACATGCATACATATGTGCAAAAGCATTCCTTGCAAAACTGTAATGTTTACCTGATTTGGGGTATGCCACTAGTATGATATCATCTTCCCGAGCTCTAAAAGTATTAATCCTTTTCAAGGTTTCTAGGCAAGAGGTCATCGTAGGATATAACACCCCGTCATACATAAATGTCCGTTCCAAAGGAGCCGTCTTTTCATTTTCTTCCAACTTTTCATCCAGAACTTTGCTTAGCTGTTGTTCAGCCATGATCGTGCTATTCTAAGAACACAGATGGGTAGCCTGGAGATTTAGTTGGTTATGTACTGTAAGTGAAGCTAATACACTTATAGAGAAAACATCTGACACATAACAAAGAACACACTCAAACAACAGGACCTGTTACTAATTAATTGTCATGAAGTAAATTTGAACAAAGTTCATTTAACCCTTCAATTTTCCAATGAAGTTGTGGCCAATTTGGATTGAATAGATAACATGTTAGAGAAAAGGGTATTCTTAAGGGAATAATTTTCTCTGGAAATGGGGTTAAAGTTCCTGAGTTCATGAAATACTTGCTGGACAGCAAGTTAAAAATCTTAGAGCAACACGTTCTCAGAGCAAAGGAGGTGGCAGTAATTACTTATTGCAAAGCTAGGATACAGGTAAGCTGTGTAAGCTCACAGCATACATATAAACTGCAAGTAATAGCTCATAGGTCATAAATCATAGTTATAATCATTAATAATCATTATATAATAATATCATTAATCATAATAATCATTAATAAATATGTGAAATATGAAATCTCATTTTTGGCATTCTATAGATTTCTTAGGCATTCTATAGAATGCCTAATTTCACACATTGACCATAACATATACTTGTATATAAGACTTGTATTTTTTTTCCCCACCTCTCCTATCTGATCTGGAAAAATGAGCATGGTCCAGGGACTGTTAACTAGAAAGCATTGGCTGATGGAGCCACAGTAAGCCTAGAGGGAGAAATCTTTTTTTCCTGTGGCACCTTTTATAAAGCCTTGAAAACTTGGATTTATGCCCAGTTGTGGGGCCCTGGTCATGGGTTAAAGCCCACCTCTTATTTATTTATTTATTTATTTATTTATTTATTTATTTATTTATTTATTTATTTATTATTTGGATTTATATCCCGCCCTTCTCCTCATAGGACTCAGGGCGGCTGACAATCAATTAAAATACATAAATAACAATACAGATTTAAAATTAATTAAAATAGATATTTAAATATTGTCCGATTTAAAATATAAATTAAAACCCCTCTAAAAATTACCCTAGGCCAGTCCTG